CCAGGGCCCTGATCTCTGCTGCCGGGAACATGACCTCTGCCCCCAGACCATCTCACCCTTCCAGTACAACTATGGCATCCGAAACTACCGATTCCACACCATTTCCCACTGTGACTGCGATGCCAGGTTGGCAGCAGGCAGGAAGGGCCTGGGGCTCAGGGGTGGCACAGAGTTACTCATGCCCTGGGTGCAGAGACCAGGATTCCAGAGAATCCTAAAGGATCAGCCAGCCAGACTCCACTGTGCAGGTGGGAAAGCTGTGGTCTGAGAGGAAAAGGGATGCTTGCACCCCAAGCCAACTGGCTGTAGTGACTGGGTGGGCTGGAGGAGCCAGGTGACCCTCTGGGCCGGGGACCTGACTGGCGGCTCTGGGGCAGGTTCCAGCAATGCCTGAAGAACCAGCAGGACTCCATCTCGAACATCGTAGGCGTGGCCTTCTTCAACGTGCTGGAGACACCCTGCTTCGTACTGGAGGAGCAGGAGGCGTGTGTGGCGTGGTACTGGTGGGGCGGGTACGTGGCTACTCCTTCAAGCCCCTTCGCAGCCAGTGGGGGGCCCAGGCTCCAAGCACAGGGAGGGAAGCCTGTGTGTAGGTCTGTTCTCCAGGGAATGAGGCCTTCCCTATCCTCTCCTTGGGTGGCACCCAGGATGCAGACCTTTTCTGGGTGCTCCCCAAGACCCAGTGGGGTGAGGGATGGGACAGGCAGAGACTTGCTCTCCATGGAGATGAACTAGGGGTTTCTGGGCGGGGGCATTCTGGGTTACCAATTACCAACAATTGCCACCTCCCAGGTGTAGAAAGTATGGCTCCATAGCCCTGGCCCACCTGAAGCCTAGGACCCCCTACAATGCCTCCTGGAGCTCCCAAGTCATGCCCTTGACTCCCAGCCCCACGGGCCCAGGACACAGCAAGCCACCACAGCAGCAACGCCCTCAGAAGAGGCCACCACAGTGGAAAGGGTCCAAGCACCCCAGCAAAGCCAACACTACAGCCCTCCAGGACCCCATGGCATTCCCCAGGCCTGATGTGGCCCCCACAACCCAGCCGAAGGTCACCCATCTAGGCCTTCAGGGGCCATGGGGTACCCTAAAACCTCAGGGTGAGCTCAGAACATAACCTTGGGTGTTCCTGATATAAGGAGGTGTCCCTGCCTCTGGGTGGGGTTGGGAGACTGTGTGGCTTCCTTTCCTCCTCTGAACTCCTGGGGTCTCCTACCCTCACCCATCAAATCACGCTGCAGCCAGATAGATTTTTGTAGGCTCCAAACTTGGCCATGTCACTCCCTGCTGAGCCCTTAGCATAGCTCTTTCGCCTCAGCTGATGATGTCCCAAAACCCACACGTCCTCAGGTGCAGGCCCTCCAGAGCTTACTCCCCAGGTGAAACTCCAGTTTCACAAACCGCATTTGGTCCCTCAAAGCATTTGGTTGCTCTCTCTACCTCTGGGCCTTTGCACATGCTCTTCCTTCTGTCTGGAGCACTCTCCCCAGCTCTTCCACTCTCCCAACCTTGGCTCAGCAGTCTCTGCCTCCAGGAAGCCTTTCCTGACCACCTTTGGGATTCTGGGCTCCTATGGTGGCCACTGCCCTGCATGTTTGTGTGTGTGTCTCACTCTGAGAGCACAAAGGGCATGAGATGGAGGGAAACTGTGTGTAACTGAGCACCTGTGCTGGTGTTTCTTCTGGATGGCAGTAAGCATCAGTGGGGCCTTGCCTGGGGGACTCCGCTCTTCTCACAGCACACCTGCCCCCAGGCATCCACCGGGCCTGCCGCATTTTCCACCGCCTGGATCAGTGTGAGCACCAGATAGGACCTCAGGAGACCAAGTTCCAGCTGTTCAACAATGCACACGAGCGCCTCTTCCACTGCAATTGCACACGCCGGTGAAGCCTGCTTAGACCCTCAGGGGTGGGCTGCCTGCTGCCAGGCACTGGGAAGGGGCACCTGCATTGCAAGTCCCTGCCCCAGCCTGAATCTGCCTCTTCCCTCAGATTGGCACGCTTCCTGAGGTTCCACAGCCCACCCATGGGCACCAACATGCTTTGGGAGCTGCTGGGCATGACCTGCTTCAAGCTGGCCCCTCCACTGGACTGTGCTGAGGGCCAAGGGTAAGTGACGCAGGGCCAGGAGGAATGAGGGCTTTTCCCAAGGGGTGGGTCTCCTGTGCACCCTTTGTGCCAGAGCTGAGGGGATGGGAGAAGGGGTCAAGGGACATCTCAGCTCCATTGTCATCACCCCCTACCCTCTGGTACCCCAGGTTCAGCTCTGCAGTTGGCCCAAGTCGGGCTGCATCTTGACTCTGTCACTTCCTGTATGACATTGCAAGTTGAGTGACAATTCTATGGCTCTATTTCCTTATTTGTAAAACGGTTGAGGAAGCCAAGGAAATAACATGTAGCCCAAAGCCTGCTGGGCACACAGGAAAATGCTTGCTTAATTCTTACTCCTAATCCACAATCACATTTTGATCTGAGTCTCATTTTGATCTGGTTTCTGCAGTCAGAACCTGGGCCTCGAGGTGTCAGCCCAGATTTATTCTGCCTCCTTCTAGGTGTAACCCAACCCTCCCTGGTCCCAGCCTTGCTCCTGTCTGGGCCTCAGTCCCTCTGTGTGAAGAGCAGGGTGGGATCCTGGACAGCCTTGACCACTTGCTCCACTTTTCTCTCCCCACAGCTGTTCCAGAGACCTTAGGGCCATCAAGGTGTCAGCTCGGCACTTGCAGCGACTCCAGCAGAGGCGACTCCAGCTCCAGAGTACAGGCACAGACGAAAGGCAGGCATGGCCATCAGAGCACCCAAGGGCCCCCATGTCATTCTATGACCAGTGCCTGAGGCCGACCCGGGCAGCCTGGACACCTGATGGGCAGCAGAAATTGTGGAACCAGTGACCTCAGTTCCAGTTCTTCTAGGTGCCAGACTGAACCTTGCCCCTGGCTTTGCTAGATTCTGGGGGTCTTCACCTCCTCTCCACGTGTTAGACTGAAGCATGGTAAGGGCTTTTGTGGACAGGCAAGAGGCTGGATGGTGGAGAGGTGGGCTGAGGCTGACATGCTGGACATGTCTCCTGCTGTGCTTGGTGATCTTGAGCTGGTGACACAGTTCCTCTGTGCTCGGTATTTAGGAGGCTCATTCTGATGCCCTAGGCTGGGGCCTTGCCAGGGAACTTCATGTCCAGATGGGAATGGAGAGGAGGTAACTTCTTGTAGCAGCCTCAGGAGATTCCAGGAAGAGGCACACATACTTCCACATTGCAAAATTAATACATGTCTTACGTGCTTGCCAGGTGAGCCCCAGCACCTGCCCGCTGAGGCCTGGGCCAGCAGATGGGGAATGAGGGATGTCACAAAAGCGTGTGTATCTGAATCCTGGATGGGGGGTGGGGGGCGCTAGAGAGAGGCTTCCCAACTCCCCTCCTACCTGGGGGACCTCTTAACAGCTTCTGTGCCCTTCCTGGCCCATTCTTTCTGCTCTAAACCTAAATTCAAATCTTCGCTGTGCCCTTGAGCAAGAGACCTCCCTGCCCAACTCTGAGCCTTAGTTTCTTCTTCCGAAAAAGGGGAGTGTGAACAGGACCTACGTCACAGGGCGGTTGAAGATTCAGCGAACCAATACAGTCACGGTTAGCACCTGAATGTTCCCTTCCTCTAACACACAGCCAAACTGCGCCTGGAGGCCCCAGTCTGCTCGCTTGTGAAATGGGTTTAAGAACTGGACTGAACTCAACACAACTCAGGGTCGTGGTGCAGATTAAATGAGCCGGTGTGTGTAATGTGGCTGTACCTGGTGACTGTCAGATCTCCATCCTCCTGCTGCTTTAGACCCTTCCTCTGACTACCCCCGTCCCCAGGCGGCCCACAAGTCAGGAAGGAGTCAGGAAGTGATGCTGGAGAATTTAATCCCTAGTTGGTGACCTCCAGGAGTGCCTCTTCCTCCCCATCCCGGATGGGAGCCAGATAGGGCTTTGCTGATTGTCACAGCTGAGGTGCCAGGACCGAGTTTGGGGGACCCCAGATGGCCACCCCTGGCCAGGAGAGAGTGGCAGGTGTAGATTAAGCTGGAACAGTAGCAAGAGGGAGGCAGGTGGGTTTGCAGAAGATTGGGACAGAGTGGGGGCTACCTGGGCCCACCTGCCTACCCCAGCCTCAGGGCCCCAGGCCCCCTTCCTCCAGCCTCTGCTGGCCCTGGGGACTAGGAGACAGGCTGCTATGAGCTGGTGACACAGTTCCTCTGTGCTCGGTATTTAGGAGGCTCATTCTGATGCCCTAGGCTGGGGCCTTGCCAGGGAACTTCATGTCCAGATGGGAATGGAGAGGAGGTAACTTCTTGTAGCAGCCTCAGGAGATTCCAGGAAGAGGCACACATACTTCCACATTGCAAAATTAATACATGTCTTACGTGCTTGCCAGGTGAGCCCCAGCACCTGCCCGCTGAGGCCTGGGCCAGCAGATGGGGAATGAGGGATGTCACAAAAGCGTGTGTATCTGAATCCTGGATGGGGGGTGGGGGGCGCTAGAGAGAGGCTTCCCAACTCCCCTCCTACCTGGGGGACCTCTTAACAGCTTCTGTGCCCTTCCTGGCCCATTCTTTCTGCTCTAAACCTAAATTCAAATCTTCCCTGTGCCCTTGAGCAAGAGACCTCCCTGCCCAACTCTGAGCCTTAGTTTCTTCTTCCGAAAAAGGGGAGTGTGAACAGGACCTACGTCACAGGGCGGTTGAAGATTCAGCGAACCAATACAGTCACGGTTAGCACCTGAATGTTCCCTTCCTCTAACACACAGCCAAACTGCGCCTGGAGGCCCCAGTCTGCTCGCTTGTGAAATGGGTTTAAGAACTGGACTGAACTCAACACAACTCAGGGTCGTGGTGCAGATTAAATGAGCCGGTGTGTGTAATGTGGCTGTACCTGGTGACTGTCAGATCTCCATCCTCCTGCTGCTTTAGACCCTTCCTCTGACTACCCCCGTCCCCAGGCGGCCCACAAGTCAGGAAGGAGTCAGGAAGTGATGCTGGAGAATTTAATCCCTAGTTGGTGACCTCCAGGAGTGCCTCTTCCTCCCCATCCCGGATGGGAGCCAGATAGGGCTTTGCTGATTGTCACAGCTGAGGTGCCAGGACCGAGTTTGGGGGACCCCAGATGGCCACCCCTGGCCAGGAGAGAGTGGCAGGTGTAGATAAAGCTGGAACAGTAGCAAGAGGGAGGCAGGTGGGTTTGCAGAAGATTGGGACAGAGTGGGGGCTACCTGGGCCCACCTGCCTACCCCAGCCTCAGGGCCCCAGGCCCCCTTCCTCCAGCCTCTGCTGGCCCTGGGGACTAGGAGACAGGCTGCTGGGGGCTGGGGTCTCCTGATCAGGTCCCCAGGAGCTGCCACCACTGAGGTCTACAGTCTCCAGGCGCAAGGCAGGCAGCAAGCCCAGACTTCGAGGCACAGATGGCGGGAAGGCCCAGGGACCAGGCAGCCCAGAGGGTCCCTCCTCACTACTTCCCCGGCTACTGCCATCATTGCTCCTATTGGGGCCCACCCGGGGCAGGCGATGGCTCTGGGGCGAGGGGCTGCGGCTGGTACCACGGCGGTCACGAGATGAAGGCCGAAGGGCGAGGCCAGGGAAGCGGGCCAGGCCCGGGCTACGGCTACGGTGTCGCTTGGACTTGCCAGGGCTGGGGCTGCGGGACTTGGGTGCAAGCAGCTCCAGGGTGCTGTCATCCTCGTCCTCTGAGCTGGCACTCGAGCTGTCTGTGCTGCTGCTGGCCAACTCTGAGGCAGGCAGCGAGATCTGGGGGAAAGGCTGGTCACCAGGGTGCCTCACTCCCCAACCAGCCGCTGAACTTGGAACACGCCAACCCTCCCCGTGGGCAGATGCAAGAAGGTCAGGCTATTTTCAGGAGGTCTTGGAGCAGAATACAGAGGCTGTGGCATTTAAACGGGGTCTTTTCACTCACCCCTACCCGCCACCCTGAAGACTGGCCTACTCACCTGGAAGGGCTCAGTGACACCAATGAGGATGCTGTGGGTGTGGCTGTAATAGCCCAGGATGAAGTCTCCATGGCCCTTGGGCAGTGACTCCTCACTGAATGTCACCTGGGGGGCCCAAGGGTATAGCCAGGTTGTGGTCAGGGAGGCAGCCACAGGACCCCCCAAACCGAGCCCTGAACCCCAAGGGCAATGAACACTTCCTCCCACTCTCCCCCTCTCCTAAGTACCTGGTAGATGTTCCCATCCATATCCTCATGTTTGGCCCAGACATACGCCACGTAGTCCTTGCAGTGACGGAAACCCACCTGGGGCGAGAGGAACCGGAGCTGTGACCCCTGACACCAACAGCCTCTTGGTGTGGCACTGAACTCTGAAGAAGTCAGTGACCCCACCTGGGCACCCGCCTACTCCTCCAGGCCCTTCCTTCCCCAAGTCACTGGCCACCCTGCCCTTCTCACCCGGTACAAGCCGATCCAGTCCCAAGAGCTGCGGGCGAACACCATTTCTATGCGGTACCTCACCACAGCCTGCTCCGGCCGCACCCACTCGTCTGCCACCTCCAGCCGCACCAGGGGCACATCATCCCTGAAGGCAAACTGCCCAGGGGCAGGGGCAGCATCAGGGGAGGCCCTCTAGTATCCCGTGCACGTAGGGCCCTTGGTCCTTTGTCAACACAAACCAGCTGAGATGAAGGGCCTCTGAAGCCACTGCCCAGACTGGGGATCTGAGGCAGAACAACAGGTCTAGGATAAAGGCCAGGCTGCCTGTCTCCCAGCGCAGGGCTCTTTCTGCCATAGCTCCCTTAGGGAGTGAGGGAGCACACAGCTTTAAAGCTAGGAGACAGTGGATTTGGCCCTAGCTCTGCCGTTGACAGGCTGTGTGACCCTGGATGAGTTTCTTGACCTCTCTGCCAGGGCTCTTGTCTGAACTTGGATGATCTTATTTAACTCTTGGGGTTGTTCTGCAGATTCCAAAAGTTTGTAAAGCATCTCATAAATGTCCCAGTGCACAGTGGGTGCTCAATGAATGATCTGCTTATATGCTAGGGAGACATGATGCAGTGGATATTCTGGGGTAAGCTAAACAGCCCTGGGTGGGCAAGAAGAGTCCTGGGTAGAAGGCTGGAGGCCTCAGTTCACTTCCAGGCTCTGCTACTCACTCGCTTTGTGACTTCAGGTGAGCCGCTAGCCATCCCAAGACTCAGTTTTCCCACCTGTACTAAGAGGGTGGCTGTTACTGTGCAATCAGCCCATGAAGACAAATTATAATCATGAGTATCCTCCTCCTAGGGTCATCCCAGGCCAAACAGGGTGTCACCCCCATGGGTAGGGCTGCTGGGTGGCAGGTGGCTAGGTATTGGCCCTACCTCTGTCCCCCAGGGAAGGACTCAGGGGGTGCCAGCCTCAGGCTTTTGTCTGCTCCTGTTTATCTGGTTTCAGGTTTCTCTCACTCCTCAGCTCAGAGCCACTTTGCTCCAAAAAAACCCCAGCACATCTTCTCCCTGGGTCCCACACAGCAGGTCCGGCCAGGGTGAGCGCTTGGAAATGCCTCCAGGGCCTTGCAGGGTCAAAACTCCCGCTGAGAGCTATTCTGGGTGTGTTGCTTTGGGTAAGAGACTTAAGCTCCCTGAGCCTCAGTTTCCTTCAGTAAAACTGGGAGGAGAATTTGGACATCTCAGGGCCTACTAAGGCATTCAAAGGGGTGACATACGTAAAGTGCCCTACAACAGGTAATATAGTATAAGGGTCAGAGTTCTGGACAAGGAAGGAAGGTCAGGATAGGGCACCAAAAGGAGTGGTTCTAGGTGAGGCCCCTGATTGATGGTTAAACCTCAAGCCCATGCCTTTTTCCGAAGGTCACGGAAGGCCAGACATGGGCAGATTTCCATTCCCAGCCGAGGATGTTGGCCAATGTCCCACTGACTGATCACATGACAAAGTTACCAGGGAAAACATTCTCGGCCCTCAGGGATTCCTCTTATCAGATCAAGAGAATTTGAGAGCCCAGAGTTGGGTTTCAGGACTGGAAAGATGGGATCTACCCCACTCTGCTGCTGAGCCTGCATGCAGTTTGGGGCACATGCCTACCCCACTAGGAGCCTCAGTTTCCCCACACAAAAAGAGTCAGACTACACAGTCTCCCAGGTCTGGTTCTAACATTTTAGGATTCCTCCTTTATATTTTGGCAACCAGGGACCTCAATCCTAAACACAATGCTAAATTATAATAATTATCTAGAGTTGAGCTCTGTATTTTTTATCTCTATATTCCCCCTTCCCCATCACTACCTCACTCTTACAGTGTCTGGCATGTGATAGGATGGTAAATAAATAAAAATATGAATGAATGCTACATAGGATTTGAATAAAGATTTTGATTTGACTTTGCTGGTCTTATACACATGAATTTTAACATAAGCTAACCCTAAACCTTTCTCAAAGGGAGTTAGTGATAAGTGGAAAAGGCATGGACTCTGAAATCAGACTAGCCTGGGTTCAAATCCTCTTTCCTTTACTAGCTATGTGATCCTGAGTGAGTGAATGCTATGTCTCTGAGCCTTAGTTTCTCCATCTGAAAATGGAGATCATAAACCTCCCACTCTGCTTCAGTGAACAGATGCTGCTGAGGGCGGTGCAGGGGTTACCAGTGGACTGTGGGATGCTGAGGCCGGGACTCACCTGCAGGACAAACTGGGCAGCCACTGGCTTGTGGTCACTAACTGTGTATTCCATGTGGCTGCGATAGCTGTGCTGGGTCACCTGGAGTCGATGGCTCTCCCGTCCTGAGGGGCTGGGACCCCCAACTGGAGCCTTGACTTTCCACAAGATACGATCTGTCCAGGCCGGCTTCCGCTTCTTGGCACTGCGGTGGGCGGGGGTCGTCCGAGTTTCAGGGGTTGGGGGTCGAGGCACAGACCCCAGCCTTGCTTCCTGCCCCTCTTCCTTGTCTCCTATATCCAGAAGACCTCAGCCCACGTCCCCTCCTCACCCCAGTGCTGAGCTCACCTGGTATCGTATTTGTTAGTACCCACATCAAACTTGAAGGTGGGTGCAAAGTTGAGGGGCCCCTCCTGGAAGCCCTTCAGGATGGGCCAGGTGTTCTTGGCCATGTTGAGCTGTGAGGGTCCAGAAGGGCAGAATTGGACAACAGCTTGGGCAGGGCAGGACCAGAGCCTAGGGGACAGATGTGTCTTGGGTCATGCTCTGTGTGCTTGGGGATTTGGGGCACAGGCTGGGATTCCGCACCTGGTCCTTCTCCCAGAGCTGGTGGAGTTGGTCGCTGTCGATGGCAAACTTGACGAAGTGCAGGTCATAGCTCTCGATCCGGAAGTTCAGGTCCCCGAACCAGAACACAAGGCTGTTTGGGGGTGAGGGTCAGCGGGGTCCGTGGGGTGGAAGAGCCCCACCCAGATCACTCCCCAGATCACGATCCAACGCGGCAGCACAGGTTGCCCCTAGCGATGCGGGGGGTGGGTGGCAGATGAGCCTCCAGCCCGCCGAGCAGCAGGGGGCGGGGCTGCAGATCCAGCTCAAAGTCGGGTTCCAACCCTCGGCGAGGCTCTGCCCCTCAGCAAAGCTACACTCTGAAGGCTCCGCCCCCTCCCAATATACCTGCATTCGTGTTCCTAGATGTCACGTGTGTGGTCACCCACCCTCATGGGCCCCCCTCTCCCCACAAGGCACCCCCATGCGGGTACTCAGTCTCCCTGCAGCAAGTTTTCCCGGACTCGCCTCTGAGGCCCACCCTCCTTCCCAAGCCCCGCCCAAGCTCCATTTGGCCCCTCCCCGGCCCGTACTCGTGATCCAGGATGCCTTGTGCCCCTGGCCCCTGGAATTGCTGAAGGCTGAGAATGGTCTGAAAATTGTCCTTGCGTTGCTCCGCCTTGTCCATATGCGCCGGCAAGTGGCAGTTCAAGAAGCAGAGCATGTGCCCGAAGGCCGCCAGTCGCACGCTCACTCCACCCTTGTTGCCCTTGGGAGGCAAGGTCGGGCAGGTCACGGGCGAGCCCCGGCCCAGGGACAGAGGCACCGGGCGGGGCGTAGCGGGGTGAGGCCCGCCAGCCCCTGGAGGAGGCTCATCGAGGAAGGCGTTCTAGGGAAAGGGGCTGAACACCGGGATGGCGCCGGGACAGAAAGGGGGCGAGGCCTAGAAATGAGGTCAGGTGTCGGTCGGGGGTGGGAAGAGGCGGGCCTCGGAGTAAGGTGTGGGGCGTGGGGAGGGGCCCTTGACGGTCCCGGGCCTGGAGGCCCAATCTATAGAATCCCTAGTGCGGGCCGCGGCCCCTTCCTCGCCCTCGCCCTCTCCCTCACTCACCCAGTAGCCACCCAGGCCGGTGCGCGTGCAGTCCGTCTGCACGTCCTTCAGGAAGGGCAGGTGGTAGTACTTGGCGAACAGCAGCAGGATGACGCCCTGCATCCTCACAGTGCTCACCTGCGGCGGAGGCGACGCGGTGGGAGACGGGACACAACCCCCAGCCGCCTCCTCTTCCAGCCCGCCCTATCGCAGACCCGGCAGCCGAGGCCCAGCACGCCCCACAGAGAGTCCAGGCAGAGCTGGGGAGTCCGGGGCTGTCTCCTCCCTTCCAGCGACCGAGGGAAGAGTTACCAGCACGAAGTTGAAGGGCCCCAGAGCATCCATGAAGATCTCGCTCCATTGGTCTGTGAAAAGCGCATCCTTGAGCCGCTTGCTGATCATGGAGTTCACTTCCTGCAACCTGAGGGTGGGGGTTGAGGCGGCTGTCAGTTTGGGGGGTGACCTGGAAGCCCTTCCCATGGGAGAAGTCGGGAAGGTATGAGGGGCTCACCAGGGGGTCCTGCGCCCAGTCCCCTTACCCTATGGCGATCATGTCTGCCCCATCACCGTCATTGCTGGCACTGCCCAGGTGGAGGAGGGATGTGATGTCATCGGGGGGCATGGCACTGCCCACGTTCCATGTGACCACAGTGATCCTGGGGGCGGAGTATAGGAGGGGTTACCCTGGGCACCACTCATCCTCAGCCCCCCTCCACAAGGCTCTTCCTGGGGAAATAAAGTGAGGCAGGGGTCAGTGTAAGCCTCAGAAGGACCTACAGTGGGCCCAGGCCCCAGGCCCGCCAGGCTCTCCCAGGGCAGATCACCTGCGGCAAGGGTGCGCCAGTCTCTAGGAGGGGATGCTGTCTTCTGGGGGCCCCAGAGTAGGCCCAGCATTCCCAAGGAATCTTCCTCAGGGAGGGAAATGGGCAAAGTAGGGCAAGCCACCTTGGAAGGAGGGTTAGACTTAGAGCTCGAGCCCCAGCAGTCCTTCTTGGGAGAGGGCCTACTCACCAGAAGCCGGGGTCACTCTTGCAGGTAGGCTGGGCTGACCAAGAGGTGGATGACGAGGTGGATTTGGAAGGGGAGGTGGAGACTGGGATTGGCGTTTCTCGGGGCTGAAGGCTGGGGCTCAGGTGCCCATAAGCCCCTACACCCTGGGTGCCAGGCTTGGGGATGGCCACCTCAGGGGCTGGTGGGACACAGGGGGAGTGGCTGGGGGAGCGGCTGGGAGACCGAGGTGGCTTGGGGAGAGGTGGGGGCATGGTCTGGGCTGAGGGGGCCCCTGGTCGGAAGGTGGGGGACAGAAGTCCTGGAGAGCGGGTGGCAGGCTCCGGAGGGCCCTGGCCCACATCCAGAGGCAGGGTCTGGGGTGGCTGGGGCAGGATAGGATCCTCAGGGCTGCTGCGAGGGGCCTCAGGCCGGGCTCTGAAGCAAGAGGAGAACCGGGGGTCCGGAGGGGATTGGATCAAAGATGGGGCACCCACGGGACTAGATGCCTGAGCTGGAGGCTGGAGATGCTCTTCAGAGACAGGGGGAGGTCTAGGGGCGGGAGCATTCCTCTGTTTAGCTGGTGTCCCTCCCTCAGAGGCTAGGGCTGGTGGTGTGGGTGCAGCAGCCAGGGCCTGTTCCTGAGAGGGTGACAGAACTGGACTGGGCACTGGGGAGGAGGGGGAGGGGGGATGTGGGGGCTGCTCTTCAGATGCTAGGGCCAGGCTCAGGCCTGAAGCAGCCAGTGCTGGCTTGGGTCCCACAGAAGCAGGTGGCACCTGCTTCTGGTCCTTGGATGTTGGAGCCATCCCAGGCCCCAGAGTAGCTTGGGGAGGCCTCGACCCAGCCGAGGCAGACATCCCCAGCTGTCCCAGGGATGTTGGAGCCAGGACTGAGCCGGAGGTCACTGGCGGAGGCTTCGGTCCAGCCGAGGCAGACATCACCAACTGGCCCACAGATGTTGGGGCCAGGCTGGAGCTGCAGTGGGCAGGTATTGTTTTCTGTCCTCTACGGGTAGACAGTGGAGCCAGGATGGGTCGGGGAGATGCCAGAGCCAGCCTTGGCCCTTCTGAAGGTGGCATAGCTGTTCGTGGCCCCACGGGTGCCAGAGCCAACCTTGGTTCCAAGGGCACTGCAGCTGCATTCTTCTTTGGTGGGAGCTGAACACTTGAATCCACCTTGTGGAGGACAAGCCAAAGACTCGGGGTAACCCTGGCCAGGGGGTTGTGCCCCAACTTCCCTATAGACCCCAGCCGACTCTATCTAGCTAAGAAAGGCACATCTTTCCAAAAGTTCTTCTAAATTTCTCACCTCAGTCCATTCTGCTGCAAATCAACTTCTCTTTTGGAGGCAACAGGACACAGAACCCTGTCCTTTCCCTCAGGTCTGACACCTCTTTTAAGTGTGAAACTAAGACACCCCCGACTCATAAAAGGCAGAGTGTGACCATGTAAGAACTTGTTCGTTATGCTTCAGAAGATTGGAGACTGACGAGAATTAGGCTGGGGGTGGATTAATGATTGTGCATTGAGCATTGAGTCCCCTATACAGAATTTTATTGTTGTTAACAACCATTTGATCAATAAATATGAGAGATGCCCTCTCAAAAAAAAAAAAAAAGGCAGAGTGTGAGCCTAAATCCAAGGGTTCTCTCTTTGCCTTCCTGCCTGGCACCCACTCCCTGGCCACTCTAGATTGTTGGGTGCCTTGGGCAGCTTCCTGGGCACCACCCCCTGGAGTCCCTGCTGCTCCTTGGTAAGGCTCTACTGACCTGACACCCCAGATCTGCCCACTTTGGACGCCCTGGGTCCATCCTGTTAAATACCCCTCCCTTCCTCCACAATGTCCAGAAACTCTCAGGTTCCCCCAACCCTGATAAACATCCCAAACTCTGTGGCAACAGCCCTCTCTGTCCTTCCCACCCATTCTCAGAGCTCCCTGCAGGAGCACTGGCTCTGTCAATTCCAACCCCAGCTCCAAGTGACCTTAGGCAAGAACCTCTCTGCCCAGGGCCTCAGTTTCCCTATCTGTAAAATGAAGGAACTTGGTAAAGGGTGCCTGGCCACACCTGGTCTCTAGGAAGCCTTGTGCTCATACTCTCTGCATTTATGAGCCCAACACTTCCTAAGATTTCATTTGAGTTCCGTGGAATAGTCCATCATTGCCAAGTGTGAGTCTAACATTCAGAGTAAGTCCGAGATTCTGTTGATTGTGGTATCGCACCTCTCTGTGCCCAAGTAAGTTGTATCTTCTTCCCTTCTTCACCCTCTCCCCCACCTTTGAGGACAGGCAAGCAGGTACCATCTTTTCCTCTGGCAGGTGGGGAGGGGGGAGGGGTGCAGGACCCAGCAGGAACCTCCTTCCCCTTTCCCATCTGTCCTGTTTCTGATGTCTCTGTCTCCAGAAGACAGAATAAAGTGTCCTTTGTCAGGGAGGGCAGAAGGTTTACACTCACCCTGGGGTGGCCCCATCCCTGCCTCCAGAGGTGCAATTCTGTCTGTGTCCTGAGTCCTCGGTTCAGAGAACAAGAAACTCTGCCTCCACTTCCTTCCCCGAACTCAGTTCTTTGAGGTTGCATTTTGGCTTTAAGTGTGCCCCCCCTCCAACCACCACTCCGCCTCCAGCGCTAACAACTTAGACATCCCAGATGTCACAGTTTTAGTCTTCAGGGACAAGCCTCCTCATTTTGCAATGGCTCAGAGAGGACAAGCAACTTGCCCAAGGTCACACAGTAAAGCTGGAGCACAGCTAGGTCCCTGACACCCGGTCCAGGGCTCTCCTGTGGGATGATAGAGGTGGCTAAACTCCATCTCTCCCTGGGTGTCCCATTGCCCCCCTCAGCCCCTAGGGTGCCCTGTTCACCCAGTCCCTGCTTTGTTGGCAGTGCCAGCCCCTCAGTCAGGGATACCAAGGTGCCTGCAGTTTGTGTATGTGTGGGGGTGGGACCAAGGATCAGGGAAAGGGGGACTAGGTTTTAGGGGTCTTACCTTGGAGGCTGCCCCAGCTTGGGAAACCCCATGGGGAATGGGCAGGGGGCCCAGGCCAGGCCGGGCCCCCAGCTTCCTGCTGCCACTGCTGTTCTGGCCCTCCATGTCTGCAGCCCCCAGCAGCCGGGGCACCCTGAGGCTCCGGCTCCAGCTCCTCAGCACCCGGGAACCAGTGATGTCACCAGCCGTTTCAACCTGCTGAGAATTTAAAGGCACAGGCACCCGCTTCCCGGCCTAGAGGTGGCCAAAGCAAGGTGGCCTACTCCATTCAGTTGGCTGCTGAGGCTGGAACAGCTGTGAGGTGGGGTGGGGAGTGTGCCTGTTGACTTGGCCTGGGTCCCAAACAGCAGCACGGAGGAGGCAGTCTGTCCTCACCTGCCACCAGTGGGCCTGACCAGCCCTTGCTGAGGGGAGGAGCATCGACACACCTGAGAGTAAGTAGAAACGGGTAGCTCAGAGGTCAGCACCCTCTCCAGGGCCTCAGAGACACCTGGGGCCCTGCCCTGAGCCTGTGACCTTCTTGGTTCCTTGCCAGCTTGGGACTGGCCTTGGCCCCCACCCTTGCCCCATTTTCAGGCTCTGGTGCCCGCCCCCTGCCTGGCTCTATCCTCCTCTTCCCAGAGACCAGACACTCAGGCTCCAGCCGCTGGAGTCCTTTTCCATCTTAACCTCAGCACTGACCGCCCCCCCACCCCCAACCCACTGCGCTCTTCGGCAGCCCGTCTCACTGCCGCCCTGGGACGTCCTCACAGCCAGGCCTATCCCAGCCTGGCTCCTCTCAGCTTTCCTCTCTCCAGAACTCACTGGGTGTGGTCTGGGAGAGGGACTCGCTCAAGGTCACCTGGTGACCTGGGGAGACCTCCTGAGTTTCAGTAAGGACAGGGAGCTCTCAGGCCCTGTGTGAGTCAGATGGGGCATCTGGGGGAGGGAACTAGGGCACAGAAAGGCCCAGCAATGGGGGAGCAGTCGGTAAGGGTCAGGCCTGTGAACTTCTTTGGCCAGGACCCTGGTCTCCAACAGGCCTAAGAAAGGGTTTGATGACTGAATGAATCGATATGAATGAGAAGAGTGAATGAGTGACAAGGTTCAGATCCGGGCAGGGATCGCTGCAGGCCCTCTGTTTCTGCCTCCTCCCTGCTCTCTTAGCTGCTAAATGGTCCTTGAAATCAGAACTACTGGATTTCTTAGAGAGGAGCGCTCTCACTCAGTTTAGGAAGAAGACAGTTCAGAATGTTGTGCCCAGAGTTCACCTCTGCAGCCTCCTGGGCTTGTGGGGTGGTACCCTACCCGAAGGTCACATGGACAGATGCCTCATCCCCCTCTTCTGGATGGGCTTTCAGCTCTGTTTGACTCTGGGTCTAGTCTCTGTTTCCCAGCCAGTGTCAATTTGGAGGGGCAGACCCAGGCTATATTAGGGCTCTCAGGTAAAAAGGTTTTGGGGTGGTGATGGTGTAGGTGATAACAGTGGTGAAGGGGGAGGAGACTGTAGTAGTGGAGATGATAATGTGCATAATTATCATGATGGAATTGGGGGGCTGACAGGCCACCCGAGAAGGAAAGGAAATTTGAAATGACCCTGCCCAGCCCTCTGACTCCTATTTTACAAATGAGAAAAGAGGCCACCAAGAGCATGGGGCTTCCCCTGCGTTCCTGGAAGTGGTCCAGATCCAGGTCCCTGAGACCACTCCTCGGGCTCAGCCATCTGGGGCAGACAGGGCATCAGTGCCCTTTGCAAGCCAGGCAAATGTCATGCAGATGAGTGTGCAGAGACCACCTCTGCCCCAGCGGGGCAGCCCGGGACTGCCCATTGTCTCCTGTCCCTGAGCCCAGATCCTGTCAGGGACTTTGTTTCTGACCCTGCCACTGACTTACCTGGGGAGGTCCCTTCCCAGGTTCCTGATTTGTGTAAAGGAGATGAGAACAGTAGATACGTCCTAAGGTCGGTGTGAAGATTCAACAATGTACTACATTAGAAGTGTGTGGGACAGAGCTCAGCGCAGACCAAGCTCTCAGTGAGGGCAGCTGTCCTGGAGGTACCATCATCAGGATCTCCATCGTCATCAACATCATCTACTCCAAGCGATCCATTTGGTGGATGCTGAAACTGAAGCCCAGCGTGGTCGCATTCCTTTGGGGGAAGGGAGGGGGGCTCTGAGACCCAGACATGGCCTTGCCGGGGGAAGGGGGCGGGGGGCGGACCCCAGCTGAGAAGGGAGCGGGGTAAGAGCTATATTTGAGCTCTAAGTGTGATGACTAAGAAGGTTGATAACAGGCTCTGGGGCTCAGGGCGGCAGTCTGGGGGCAGCTGCCAGGGAGAACCGCCCCCCTGGAGACGGCTGTTTCCCGAGGCCCCTCCTGGCTCCCTCCATTCTCTCACTCTGGGGGGTGGAGGCTGGTGTACTGAGGCAGAGGGTACGTCTTGTCCAGCCTTCTGGAAGCTCTTTGTGCTACCTATCAGGGCTTTTGGGTCAGGGATAGGAAAGGAGAGAACTGGCGGTTGCCAACTTATCTCAGTTACTTTCCATAGTAACTCTTTGAGGTTGGTGATGAGATCCCCACTGACAGAGGGAGAAACTGAGGCCTAGGCATTACACAACCCGCAGGGGAAGAGCATGGGGTTCCCAGGGACATAGTGGATAACTTCCCCCCTGCAGGGATGGCAGTTGAATCCCTTCCTTGAAAGAGCATCCGTGATGCCAAATGGAAAGGAGAAAAAATGCCCAGGGAAGCAGACAGAACAGCAGGTGCAAAGGTATGGAATGTGGAATGTTCTGGCTGTGAAACTATGCAAAATTTGGAAACGTGCTTTCTTGGTTCTTTGGCTCAGAGTAAATCCACCACGAAAGGAAAAAGAGAGAGACTTTCTCCTTCCTCTTTCCTTCTCCTCTTCCTCAACCTCCCAGGGACACCTATGGATGGAAATGGTACAGAAGGGTCTGTCCTCCTTCCTTCCGCTCCTCGGTCACCATGACCTAGGCCCACCCTGAGGGAGGTCACACTGTGGCCACTAGTTGAGGAACGTCTTGAGATGTGCAGGGTGCTGGAGGGTATGGTGCCATGATGGCAGAGGTACATAGCAGGAAAGGCTTCCTGGAGGAGAAAGTATATGGAGCATGGAGGAGGGTTTCTCTTCCCAGGACTTCACTCCAAGGTTCCTTGTTGGTACCAAGTGCCATATGTTATGTCACTGACCCCTCATTCTCACCTGAGGGGCAGGTGTCATTCTTACCTCTCATTCTGCCCCCCAGGAAATGGATTCAAGGAGGAGGAGTGACTCTCCCAAGGTCACACAGCTGGGGCTGAGCTCAGGATCCCCCCTCCCTCTCCTCAGCTCCCTCTCCTCCCAGGCAGCCTGGCACCCGCTGTCAGCTGCTCTGAAGTGAGCAGCTATTTTTATTCTGGTGCGAGGGGATCTCGGGCGGTGGCGCCATGTAGGTTAGAAGGCTCTAGGACATCGGGCTTCCACAGGCAAGGTGAGGTTTACTGAAAGAATATAAGCTTGCTTGGGGGCTCTCATTTCTTGCACACTGACCTGTGCTGGGCTCCCATGTCTCCAGAAACTTCCTTATTGGCATTCAAAATAGAGCAGAGGGCTAGACTAAACATTGGTGTTGACCGTAGATCCATCTTGAGCCCTGATCTTGGTGTTGACTGAGTCCTGATCTCATGCTAAGACTGAGCCTCTATCCCAGCTCTAGATTGAGCTCTGACCATGGCTTGAGACTGAGCCCTAGTCATGATTCTAGTCATGTACTGAGTCTGATCTAAGCCTTCCTGAGTCTTAGCCTAACTTAAGACCTTGGCTCCACACCCACATTTAAGGGCCCTCATCCTAGCCTAAGACTGAGCCATAGTCACAGACCAAACTCTAACCTTAGTCCAGACTAACCCTTGATTTAGTCGGAGCCTCAATCCCAGGTCTATACTGAGCTTCAAGTCTGCATTAACTGAACTCTGAACCTGAACCTGGTGGTGACTGAGCCCTGAGCTTGGTCATAGACTGAGGCCTGAGCCTAATCACTGCCTGAACTCTGACCTCAAATTGAGCTCTGACCCTGTGTCACACAACTCTGGTCACACACACTGAGCCCTGACCTCAGACTGTGCATTGAATCTGGTCAGAGATGGAGCCTTGAGCAGAGTTACAGACTGAGCCTTGGTCTTGGTCACAGACTGAGGTCCAAGACCGATCATTGATTGAGCCTTAAGTCAGTTCTAAACCTGGCCTTAGACGAAGGGCTGATCTTGACCCTTTGTGAGCCTGCCCCATCACAAACTAAACTACAAAGCCAGTCCCACCTGAGCAAGGCTGCTGGCCTAGATTACAGCTGCCACACAGGGCATGGATGATGAGCAGAGATCTGTTCTGGTCGATCCTGGACCTCCCATGGCTGCTGATGCCAGAATGTTCCCGGTACTGTTGTGGAGTGTCTCTACCACTGGTTTCACTGGCTGGCTAGTCCACCCTCAACAGCCCAGACTGTGGCCCTCCAGGCTGCTGTATCCAGGTTAATGCAATGAGAGTGGTTTGGTGGCATCTGTCCAGTGAACAACTTGAGCCCATGGGACACTGAGGTTTGGCTCTGTCAGCAGAAAAACCACAGGCTCCATGGGGCCTCTGGCTTCAGTCTCTCGGAAGCCCCTGCTAGGGAATAGGGTAGGGCAGAGGGAACCCACGGTGTATGTCCCATTATCTTTGTAAACAGAGGTTACTGTTTGTGTTTAGGTAATTAATATTTATTATAGAAAATACAGAATAAAATTATAAAGGAGAAAAAAAATCACATAAATTTCATCTAACAAGAGATGACCATTTTCTCTTACTGGGTTGTTTTCTTCTAGGTTTTGTTCTTTGGTCTAGACATATATATTAATATATACCAATTTTATAAAATTGGTAGGGTATTCTATCACCTCCACAACATCCATTGCAGTCCATATTGTTTGACAGGCTTCAGGAATGGGTCCCAACTGGTTAAGGCAATGAGCACTTCCTATTTCCCTAGGCACATGATTGGGTCACAGACATACTACTGAAATATAAGGAAACTTTTGCTGAGATGTTTTGAGAAAGTAAGCTTATTTCCTCCCATGAGGTTACCAAAAAAGATGATTTCCCCTTGATTATATGTGTCTGTGGTCCTGATTTACTGCTGGAAGCCATCTTGACACCATGCAGGCAACTGGCCTAATGATAAACTGACACGATGGAAAGCAGAGTGGAGAGAGGTCAGGTCTTGGTGACTGTGTCAGCTGGATCAAACCTCACCTGAAGCCCTCCTTGCTTCTGGACATTTTGTTATGTGAGCCCACAGATTCCTTTTAGTAAAGCAGTTTAGCTTGGGGTTTCTGTGACTTGCAGCCCAGAGCATCACAACTCCCAACTGATATTACAGTTTCATAGGGTTTTTTTGGGGTATTTAATACCATAATT